TTTTTTGTGTTCCAAACAGAATATATACAATCAAGCTGACATCTCAGTAGTGAAGTCTGTCTTGCATCTCTCTGGCCCAGTCTGGACAGGCAAAGAAATACATGACAACCATACTAGCCAATTATTTGACTATAACTGCACTATTATCAAATAGCCTTGATCGCACACCCCCTTGGAAAACGAATATTAACGTTTTCTAAATTTGTTAAGATGGTGCACTTCTTTGCCCTTTAAATTCGCCCTAGGTGAATTTTAAATCCTGTGATAAAAGTAACTGATTTTAAAAATCTTCTTTCTTTATGCAAATTGATGACAAGATGATTACAATGCTTTCACAACAGTCTGCTTTTTGTCTAGCCTACAGCTGGTCATTACCAATAGTAACTTTTTATTTGAAGAGTTACTATCAGTCTTCTTGGTGCCTGTTTTCATTCCGATCTACAAGTTGTTACATGCATGCATCTGAAAATATACTTTTCCTTTAAAAATGCATTAGCTTCTGAACAGTGAGAAGATGACGCAAACCATGATTATTGCCCTGCATGCCTCATTCATACCTATCTACAAAAAAAAAAAAAATTAAGTGGAAAATACAGAAGATGACTAAAGACTTTTCTGAAAATTTGTTAATAGCATCTGAAACAGGTTTGTTTCTAAGAAATGTACATTATGAAAGCTGTTGATTTTTGAGCAGACTTTCAAAAACACTTCATGATTTTGAAACGTCTCACAGTGAATAATGGGCCATCATTAAGCCTTAGATTAAGCAAATACTTTTCACATTTTTTAAGGGAAAAACGGTAGGACAACCTTGCCAGACACCTTTGTGCAGCCATAAAAATTTTTATACCAATATGAAGCAAAAGCAAATACGCAGTCTTCCATGCCCTTTGTCATATCATAAATGCCAAAATTTGAGGCCACGACAAAATGCAGTATTAATTTGTGCTGCTATTTTGTGGCTGATATCCATTTGTTTTAAGGTGGGAGACAGCAGGTAGTCTGGAGCTGCCCATGCTCTCCAGGCACCCCAGGTAAGCACTCCTGGGGTTTCTGGGGCCCAAACCTATGTGTCCCAAGAATTGCCCCATCAATTCCTGGGGCATGTAGGATCAGGCCCCTGAAGCTCTGGGAGTGCTTCCCTTGCGAAGGCATGCCCCAAGGATTCCTATTTGGGGTATATAAAACTCTGCAAGCATGGAATCACCCATTTGCAGAGGTGCACCCTGAGTTCTGTCTTGCAGGACTGGGCCTCCAAGGTGGCAAGGCCCTGAGCCTGTGGGATAACAGGGAACACTGGTTACTTATGCTCAATGAAGTAGATCCGTTGTGTTGAGACACCTCCCAGCTCAGCTGATCTACATCATTTAGCAACATCTGTGTATAGCCTAAAAAGTAATTAACGTGTAATTTCCTTTGTGGGAGAGAAAAAGGACAATGATTTCCAGGTCTTTAATGAGAATTTTTCATTTGCAACTGCTGAGAGAAAAATGTGAGGCCTACAAGCAAGAACTGAGGTAGTTTGAAACTGCAGCAACTCTCAGCAGCTCATCAATGCAGTATCACAACCATGATTTTAACACAGGATTTCTAAAGCCTCATTTAAAAATGTCACCATCTTGTATACCAACATCCCACACCAGGATGACACCCAAGCCTGCCTTGCATATTTACAGGAGGAATATTACAACTCAGAGTACAAACCTAAAGATAGTTCTGAACTTATACACTTCATCCCCATACACAACAAACTTCGCTTTCAAAAACCAACACTTTCACCAGATAATGGGCACAGCTACGGGCACCAAAATGACCCCACAATATGTCAACCTTTTTATGAGCCACCTGGAAGAAGAGTTCCTCAAGGACTACACCATCAAACCCATACTATACTTAAGATGCATCAAGGACACTTTCATCATTTGAACTGAAGGAAATCAATCAGAGATTGCAGGTTATCACAAATTCAATAATCATCACCCCTCCCCATCAGACTCTCTCTTGAATACTCCAGCACCAACACTTCCTTTTTAGACACTATGATCACTATCCAGAATGGTAAAATACAAACCACCGTATACAAGAAACCCATGGACCAACTACACAGAACCAGCAATCACCCTAAACACACCAAGAAAGCTGTAATATACAGCCAAGCCCTCCAATAGCACTGAATTTGCACTGAGAAGAACACCCATCACATCACCTCACAAATATCAAAAGCGCTTTCACCCAACAAGGACACTCCTCCAGAGAGAGAGCGAGCGTGCACTTTTGAAAGAGCCACTTAAATACTATGTGAAGAACTGCTGCAGTATAGAAAGAAAATCCCCATGAATCGCACACCATTAGTTATGACATATCACCCCCTCCCTGGAACCTATGCGGAAAATCCACAAGCAACTACAACCCATACTAGAAAAAGACTCAATTCTTAAAGAGATCTTTCCAGAGCCACCCATCCTAGCCTTTAAACAAGCAGCAAACCTTACCAACCTCATTACCAGAAGCAAACTTCTTATGGTCCAAAGCACACCGAATGGATCCAGACCATGCCAAGACAAGAAATGTAAAGCTTGCCAAAATATCTCTGCCACCCCCACAATTACTACACCCCACAACAGAACCATCAACATTCCTGGATCTTACAGCTGCACCTCCAGAAATGTAGTACATCTCATCCAGTACACTAAACGCCCTGATGGAAAATATGCAAGAGAAACCAAACAACAACTGTGTACCAGAATGAATGCACACTGAAAATCTATCAGACAAGAATACCCAATTACCTGTGGGGGCACATATCTGAAAGATAACCACTCTCTCTCCAATCCCTCAGTTCTAATCCTAAAAGGGAATTTACAAAACCCCTTTTGCAGATGAGCCTACGAACTTCACTTGATCAACCTAGTGGATACAAAAAATCATGGACTAAATACAGACATTGGATTTATGGCACATTATAACGTACCTAACTTTTGATACCCCAGGTAACTTCTCTGCTATTTACCAGCTACATCTTATGACCAGGTCTACATTGTCTGCCCACCCCACTCCTGTTTCTCACCCATTGTCTGCCACAACTTGCATTTTCACTGACTGGCATTCTGGAATACAGGCAGTCCTCGACTTACAACGTTTCGAGTTACAAAGTTTATAAATTGACACCCTGTTTCAACTTTGACATCAGTTTCAACTTTACAATGCTTGATCTGACACCACGTCATGCCAGAGAACAAGTTTGCTGTGTCACCCATTTCCCTGGAGAACATCTGTCCAAACTTCCTTGGACAATGACCTTTAAGAAAGCAGACAAGACTCCAGAAAAACCTGTAGCCAAGACTCCTGAGAAGACTCCAGCCAAGAACTCTTTAGAATGTCCAAAGTCACCTCAAAGAAGTCTTTCCAAATCTATATGATTGGTATTTACAATATAAATACATTAATGTAGCTATATTACTCATCTATAATTGATTGAGTACAAAATTCTGGGTTATTTTTGGTGAAAATAGGGTATCGGGGCTTGGTTCAGGACCCAATCCCCCATTTATAACGTTGTTTCCCAAAATCGGTTCCAAGTTGCAACATTTCAACTTAAGATGTGGTTTTCAGGAACCAATTGTGTCCCAAGTCTGAGGACTGCCTGTACTGACCTCTGGCTTCTATTCTATCCCATCCAGGAAGAGTACATAACTGCAGATGCTTCCTCTGCCTGAAGAAAGATGTTTGTACCCAAAAGCTTGCAAAGAAGAGTTTTTCCAACTATTTTAGTTGGTCTAATAAAAGATATCTAGTTTACTCAAAGAACCTTGTCACTTAAAAACAGTATTTTAAGTATAGACGTCAATGCTGATGTGCCCATGTAAGTAGCTAAACGAGAACATCAAGGACCAGGCTCAAGTCAGTTACTTTAAGGATGATTTACTTTAATTCTAATGTTTTTTCTGCCAAAGAAGTAAATGTAATTAGTTATATCATTTAAAGCACTACTCAAGCAGTATGGGCATAACATTTAGAAAACAAGTAAAATTTAGTTTTCCATTTCCTTGTACGCTAGAGGCACTGGGAATAAAAGAAAGCTAGAATGCTTATTTCTTCAGTAGTTTCAAGGTTCCAAGGAGAGTCCCCATTCATCTAGACTGGGACTCAGAAGGCTGAGAGGACTGGAGAGTTCACAAGTATGTTCTAAAATTCTTTGAGTTATTTACAATTAACAATCAAGTTCTAAACACAATTAAAAAAAAAAGTGCAAGATTCCTGCAGCTGATCAATAAATTCAGAAGAAAATTTTGACCAGATAACTGCCAGGCAGCAGTAAACTCCAAACAACAACTGAACTGACTGTTTAATTTAAAGTATTGCAGGAGTGTTTTCCAGCAAATTTAAGTGACCAGGGAGCAGCATGGGGAAACCAGGAGAATTCCCTCGAAGGCAGATCATTAGGACATGAAAATAGGGATGTTAGTACAATTCAAATTATTCTGGTTATTCAAAAGGCATTTAACTGCACAAAATATCTAGCTTTTGAAAGCTAACCTTGAAAGAACACCAAAAGATTTTTAGAAGTGTCCAGAGATGAATGCTGAGAAGTGGATTAGATAAAATTTTCAATCTATTAATAGAATCTCATGATTTTGGGACATGGATGAGGAAAAAGAGATTAGAAAAAATACAAGAGTTTGGAAAAAATATTTCTTGCAGAATGGTAATGGAGCACCTTGAAAACGAAAAATCAACTGTCACCAAGTGCATGTATTTAAAGGATCACCTAGAGTTAGTATATATTTGAGTCTCTCAAAATAACTTGGACAGATATTGCAAGCTTTCAAGTTCTATTTTAGATTAATACACCCATGCATACATACCTTAATCCTTTTAAAGCCTGATACTTGGCCCTATATTAAGCGCATAGCATTTATGTTTACCAATCTTTTACTGCAATATAAGTGAAGTTTGCAATCAAAATAGTTAATGGGCAAGATACATATGAGAAGTCTTACTAAATCAGCACCAGCTTGGAGCAAAACATCTGCAACATCAGTATGTCCATTTTCACAGGCGTAGGTCAAAGCTGTGTCTCCTGTTGCTGTTGTAGCATGGACATTAGCTCCTATAAAGACAACATTAGTTTTACTGCTTACTGTAAATATTGCCCCCCTACCCAAACAGTTCATTTGAGCGAATCCACTAACAAAAGAAATAGCAACCTTCCTTCCACAACAATAAAAATTAGTTTCTCTCTCCTATTTACAGGCAAGCTCTCACTGCCCAATGGCATTTAACCTAATGAGGAAAGATGCCTGCAACTGTGGGTGAATAGTAGGGCCAGGAATCAAGGGAAGTCTGGCACATCTGACAGTAGTCAAAGGGAGCAAAATTTCCCCTACAGCACTGAAGATTTTGGTCCTACAGCATCTCTGAAATTATCTTTCTTTTTGTAATTTGGTTTGACAGTCTTGACTGCACTGACTTACCCTTAGTATCTACTCTGCAGTAGACTGTGTGGATATCTACATTACTAGAAAAGTTACCGAACCAAATTTGGAGTAAATATTACTATAGGGACATAATATTTTGATATGCCAATGTAATTCTTTGGTCAGGTTATCAGCCATATGGTATAACACTGAAAGAATTTAACGACCTACATAACAGCACTCGTGCATAATTTCCCTATTGTTATAGTAGGAATTATTTTGCTATCAAAACCATCAGAATGATTTATTATTTTCATATTTCCCAAAAGTGTTGTTAGCTATTTTTACAACACCACTGATGCCAAGGAAAACCTCTTGGCTTCCTCAAACTAGGCAATACCTGCAGATACTCTAACAGTAATATTAAGGGTGAAGACAGCTTGAAGCTTTTTTGTAGTTCTAGTATGAAGAGACACTGATTGTCACTGTCTCTTACCCACAGTTTAAGGCATGTCATTTTCCAACTTTACCAATCTGGTGACTTTTATAAACATCAATTTCACTTTGGGAAACGTACAATTATTTTAAATAAGCCACTTGCTCCTAATAGGAATAGATGTACATGCTATTAACAAAAGTTTAAAGCTCTTCTTCTGTAAAAATCTCAAATTGCAAACATAACAGAATATAAAATGCACTGATCAACATAACCCTCTTTCCC